CCTTGTGACTTAAAACAATGATTCTATGAGTTGACCATGTTGAGTTAGCTGAAGGTCATTAAAGAGCTGCATTCATCAGAGAATGCAACTAATGAGCTGTATTCATCAGAGAATGCAACTGGGGTGGGAACACCCAAGATAGTTTAATTCACATGTCTTGTGTCTTATCTGAAATGGCTGGAACAGCTAGGGCTGGCTGGGACTCTCTCCCAGTAGAGCATACAAACTTCTTACTTGGTATTTCAGAAAAAAACAAAACTAAATTACAAGTCAAACCCAGTAATGTGTAAAAAGGGTAATACATCCTGGCCAAGTTGGAATGCAGAGTTGATTTTACATTTGTAAATTACCAATGTAATTCACCATACTGACAGTAAAAGAAAATAATCATATCATCACATCAACAGATGCAAAAAAAGCATTTACTAAAACAACATCCATTATTTAGGAAAAAAAGAAAAACTCTTAGCAAATTAAGAATAGAAGGAAATTACTTAGTCTGATGAAGAATATCTACCAAAAAAACTTATAGAAAATTTCATATTTAATGGTGAAATATTAAGACCTTTCCCTGTGAAACTAAAACAGGATGTCTGATATCACCACTTCTCTTCAGCGTCATGTTTGAGTTCCTAGCCAGTGTAATGAGTCATGGAAAAATGTTTAAGTATTATAAAGTCCTGAACAAAACTATTATTATTCATAGATAATATGACTATATATGCATAAAATCTAAAAGAACTTAGATAAATATTAGAACTGATAAGTAAATTGAGCAATTTGAGTAGATAAAAGATCAATATACCTAAAAAACTATTACATTTCTATATACCAATATACACTTAGAAAAAAATTTAATGATGTCACTTATAATATCATCAAAAACATATCAAATACCTAGGAATAAACCTAACAAAAGATGTATCTTCTACAGACAAAGCTACAGAAAATTGCTGAGAGAGAGAAGTTCAAACTGATCTAAATAAATAGGGTGATATTCCATATTTATGGATTGGAAGACAACCCTTATTAACTTATACAAATTAATTTATAGATCCAATGCAATCCCAGTTATTAAAAATCTGGCAGGTTTTTAAGTGAAAGGAAGGCAGGAATTGACAAGTTGATCTTTAAATGTATACAAAAATACAAAGAGCCAAAAATAGCCAAAACAATTTGGAAGAGGGGCAATATTTTATGACTTAAACTACCAGATAATAAGATTTATTACAAAGCAACAATAATTAGGACAGTGTGGTATTGGCATGAAGATAGACAAAATAGACTAATGGACCAGAAAAGAGTTTCTAGAAACAGACCCCCCATATGGCTTCTTGTTTTATGACCAAGGTGAAATTGCACTATTGTGGAAAAGACCTATTTTCAATAAATAGGGCTGGGTGAATTGGCTATCTATATTTACATTAAAAGTAAATATAAACACTTGTACTATACATAAAAATCAATTACAATGTTATTATAGATATAAAATAAAGGATAAAATAAATAAAGTTTCTAGAAGATAACCTAGGGGAATATCTTCATGACCTTGGAGTAGACAAAATTGCTTAGATGGGATACAAAAATCTCTAACCATAAAGGAAAATATTGATGAATTGGACTATATCAAAGTTGGAATGGTTGTTCATCAAAAGACACTACCAAAGACAAGCCACATTTGCAATACATACATCCAGCCAAGGATTTATATTCAGAGTTTAAAAGAACTACAAAACAGGTAGAGAAAAACCAAAAACCAATAGAAAAATGGGAAGAGATTTGAACAGATATTTCACATAAAAAAGGATCTCTAAATCTCCAATTAGACTATGAAAAGGTACTCAATCTCCTAACTCACCAGGGATATAAAAATCAAAACCACATTGAGATCATCCTAGCAGAATGGCCAAAATTTACACAACATCAATACCAATATCAGCAAAGATTTCAGAGCAATGAGAACTTACACATTGGTTGGTAGGGTGTGAATTGGCACAACCACTTTGGAAAATAATTTGGTAGTACCTTCTAGCCTGAATATATGCATATCTTATGAGCCAAGAATTCCACTCCCAGGTATAAACCCAATAGAAATGTGTGTACACGTGCACCAAGAGACATATACAAGAATGTTCATAGTAGCACTATTTATTTTACCTCCAAAATCATGTAGGGACTCTTGGTTCCCTTTGAGGTCCTCCTGCTGGATTGAGATGAATTAACCTCTATCCACTTCTGTGTGTTTTTCTTGTCTCAGGGCGCAGTAGGTTGGATGTGACATAATATACCTAAGGCAGTGTGTATTTGTAGATATGAAATTAAATAGCCCCTTAGGAAGAACAAGATATGGGCCCAGAGGCAAAGGTTAGGAAAAATTATTTGAAAGAATGAAATTGACACTCCTCATGGTAGCTAATGTCTTAGGGACCTTTGTTGACTAGTATGCCAGGATGGAAACTTGACTTTTAAAAACATAGAAAAGCAGTACATTCACATGGTTATTAAAAAAAATAGTATAGAAAGACATGAAATGTCCTCTTCCCACCTATAGTTCCTCAGATGTAACCACTATTTTTGTGTGGGAACTTTCCAAGGGGATAAAGTATACTTATAAGAGTTTATACACATATGCATTCTATTTTTTTAAATATCTACCCAATAGAATAATACTACAAATACCAATCTAGACCTCGCCTTCTCCCCTTCACATTAAACAAGGTGGTCTTTCCTTGTTAGCATGTGTAGCTTTACCTCATTCTTTAATAGCTTCATTGCTTGCTGTTGCACAGATGAATCAGAATATTGTAAACAGTCTCACATTCATGGTCTTTTATGTTGCTTCCAGTGTTTAGGCGATAACAAATGCTACAATAAACTTTCTTATAGAACTATCCTCAGCTACTTATCTTAAGGTAATTTCCCAAGAGCAGAAAAGTGTGGTCAAGGGTATATAAGTTTTAAAAACTTTAATTAGTAGTTAAAGATGGGTACTCCCACTTCCTTTTTTCTAATTCACTAATGCAATCTGCTCTTTGTGAACGAGCACTTTGTCAGATGTGCTCCTTGGAGCTGGTATGCAGTGTACTGACTGTAATCAAGACCAAACCTGTTATTCCTGAGAAAATCTCTCTTTCAGTCTCGGCCCTGGGCAGTCCAGATCTTCATGCTGCCGTGGGTGACACTACTGGTCCTGGGTGAGTAGAACGGCTCAACATGGGCCCTGGGTGGTGTTGGGACAGCTCCTCTCTCCACCACCAGCCTGGCCTTTCTTGAGGCTCAGCGCTGCTCGAAGAGTCTTTCCCACATGAGGAGACTGCAGTGCTCAGGGCTTCCTCTCTTGGGGCTGAAGAAAGTAATCATAGCTAGAAAAATCTTTCAACCTTACAGAGAAGGAAACTATAGTGACCACAACAATTAATGTTTCGGTTTTTTTTTCTTCAACAAATACTTCATAAGTCCAGAAAATGTGTCACGGTTGCTTATTCATACTGTCTTATTCAGAGAAGAGCCTACTCTCCTCTCTGCATAGGAGATGCCTTTTATCCCCGTATGCTGGTCCTGGGCACAAGGAGGCAATGTTTCTGACAGGGAAGATGCTCTTTCTTCTGCACACGAATACAAACCACAGCAGTGGTTGCCAGATTAAGAACATGGGGTGGGGGGAGACACAGAGGGTTAGTGGGGCAAGGCAAGGAAAACCGTAAAGCGGATGGCATTCTCATTGTGCCTGTGGGTGTGCGTAAGTGTCTAACAATTCATATCTATGAACTGGTTGGTTTTTTACCAAGGTCTAACTATTAGAATTAAATAAGTTTATTCATTTGCTAAGCAAATATTTTTTAGTGATATCTATTCACAGCACTGTACCAGGTGCTGAGGATGACGGGAGTCCATGGAGGAAGCTCATGATATAGAAGGGCTCCCAGCAAGGCCGATGGACAAGAAACAGCCATATAACAAGACTCCAGTTAAATAATTGCCCAGGCAAAGTTACCAGCGGACAGTGCAGACAGATAATAAACTATATGCCAAATAGCTGGTATAGACTTCATGAAACTTAGAAGTGAGTAGGAGCTGGAGGGGCAAGATGTAAGAAGAGAGGGCACCACAGTTGGAAGGTGCATGGAGTATATATCCAGAGATGGGAAGCACATCCCAGTGTGGCACCAACAGAGGGGCAAGAGAGTATGGCCAGGAGCATGCACTTTGGGGTCAAGCAGGACCTGGATTCAAAATGTCATCCTGCCACTTGCCACCTACTTAACCAGTTTTCTGGCCTGTGAAATAGGGCTAATCAAACACCTCAAAGGGCTATCGACTGGATTACATGAAATTATGTATGTAAGTGCATGCCACATAGAAAACACTCAGAAGAATGTTGGCTCCATTTAAAACAATGCAATAGCCAAGATATTCAGGTAATAGTGAGTAATCCATTGTTCTCAAGAGCACACTTAAGTTTGGATAACTCTTACATCAGCCCTGTGTGCACAGGGATGATGTGCCACTCACTCACTGCTAGATGTCCTTTGCCTCGCACTGGCACATGACTGGCATTCCACAAATCTCTGTTGAATGAATCAATCAAATCTGTCCCTTATATGGAATATCTATTCAATTTATAAACCTACCCATGTTGCCCCATCTCTCTCCTCGTTACCCATTTCTCAAACCTGTATCCTTCTATCTCTACTATTGTTAACCTAGTTCTTTAATTAATTCACTATACAATAAACAAATAGTAAAAATTAATGGAATATCTTTTACATGCCAGGCACTGTTCTAGATCCTGGAGGATATATGGTGAATACAAGAGAAGTCCCAGCTCTCATAGGGATTGCATTGCAGAGAGAAGAAAGGAAGCAAACAGACAAATAATGAAGATGATTTTGAAAAAAACACTCTGAGAAAGATTAAACGTCACCATCTCTGGCCCTGCCTTCTAACCAGTCTCTCAGCCTCACACCTGGTCCCACCGAGGTCCGCCCACTGGCAGAGAGCTCCATCTAAGTTTTAAGTCCTATTGTCACTCTCCCCAAAACCTTTCCATAGCTCCCTGTGGCTTTTACAATAAAATCAGCGCCACTCACTTGGGCCCTGCATGCCTCTCTAATCTTATTTCCCCCACCACTCCCTGCCTTCCAGACCCCCCAACTCCTGAACACCACTGTCATTTCTTCATTCCATGTCCTTCTGCCTTGACTGCCTTCCACATCACCTCTTGCTACACACAAGCACTAACCTTTACCTACTGACTCCTATGTTCTCACTCACAATTTTCTTAAGCATTCCTCCTTCTGGCACCTTCCATGGTCCCCCCACCCTCTTCAACACACACATACACACACATATCCTACACATTGGGCAAGGTGGCCCCTCTGCCCCCACAATACCGCATGTGTATTTCTATTATTGCACTTACCGCCAGTATTGCAATTACATGACCTCGCATCATGCTTCTGTTTCCTCTACCAGTCAACTTCTTGACAGCAGAGACCATTTTTTAAATTCATCTTAGAAGTCCAATCACAATTCCTTAGCATATATATATAGTTATTTGATAAATAATTATTAGATTTTTAAAATGAACTTTTAATGGAAGAAGTAATAAATAGATGGAAAAAAACAGGCATTAACTTTGAAAAGCCATAAAATTTTTAATCTGTGCTCATCTCTGGCTTTTTTTGCAGCTCCTCTCAGTGGACAATGGGGTGAGTTCTTCCTTTTGTTCTTCATTGTTTCTGGATAAGAGTATCTCCGTAATAAATAGGAAACATTTATGATGGCTGCCTGAGGAGCTCTAATATCTCCCGTTTTCTTGCCGAGGCCAGCAGGGATGTGAAAGTGTCACCTGGTCTATTGGCATCGCCCAAAGGCCAGGAGAGCTTCATGATCACCCTCCATCCAACCCTCCCTGGGCAAGGTGGGGGATGCACAAGAAGCTCTGGCCTTTGCGAGGCCCTGCATTTCGTCCTGTTGCAAATGGACCCCACTTAGCCCGGCAGGACTTCAACTCCATGGCAAATGGGCTGGGCTCAGGATAGGATCACCTCCAATCAGCAAGCCAGTAATACTGCTCTGAAAACACCCCACTGTGGTGGTCCCAACAGGAATGCTGCATCTTCCACAACTGTGGAGTAAAATCCTCCAGGAATGGCATAGGGAGCAGAAGAACCTCCAACACCTGGGCCCTTACAAGGAAGAAATGCGCAGAAAGGGAAATGGGGGAGAAGACAAGTTTTCACACAGTCAACTTGTTCTGCTCTTAATGCCGTTCTTCTGGGTCAGAGTGGATACTTGAGGACCCATGAATAGCAAGAATTCCCTACAACCCCTCTCCTTGTCCAAAATCAGCATCCCCAGCTGGAACTGTGTCTAG